AATAAATAATTTTAAGAAATCTAAAATAAGTCTTAGGATTGAAGAGATAAATCTGATTGAGTCTTAAGGAGTCTTAACATAATTAAAATTAAAAAAACAATTATATTTAATATAAATTCTGATGTGGCAATTAATTAAAATCTTAAGACTCAGGTGACATCATCATTTTTTGATCTTAAGACAAGGCTTTGTTTTTTTTAATGCATTTAAGAAGCTAAGTCTTAACAAAATCTGAAGTGGAGTCTTGAAAACTTAAGACTCAACTTAACACTCAACTCTGCACACTATACACCGTGTTTTCCCTATATATACATCAAAACACAGTGTTTTGATAAAAAAAAACATTTTTTTATTTCTTAAATACATTAAAATCTATGTACATTTCTTAAAATAAAAAAAGAATATTCTATGTGCATTGTTTTAAAAAAAAATGTATGTACGTTGTTTCCAAAATTTTTTATAGATATGTACGTTGGTTTTAATTTTTTATATGCAAAAATCATTGTTTGTTCTATTTTATCTTAACTATGTACTTAATCTTGTTGCAAAAAAATAAAAACACATACCAATCATAACAATTATCAATTTAAGTTATCTTGTATTTAAATTATCCTATTGATTTTGTTATCATTTATTTGTCTTCTTTAAAAGCCTACAAAAAAATATAAACAACGTACAATAATTTGATTTGCACATTCAAAAGCTTTCTTCAAAATATGGATCCCATTCAAAATTTTGATTTGCAATCTTTTATGAATTTGATTCAAAGCAATAATAATCAAAATCTACCCTCACAACCAATGCAAAATTCTAAAAATACGCAAGTCTAAAATTTAGCCAATTTTCTCTAAGCTTCATCCCAACTCCCTGAATTTTCTAGCCAACAAGGGTTGGATAATATTGAGGTACAAACACCTCCTACGACTACTCAAGGTCAAAAAAGAAAATCGACTCCTTGGACGATTAAAGATGATTGTCTCCTAGCTACTGCATGGTTACATAGTAGTAAAAATAAAATCACCGGTAATTCACAAAAATCGGATGATTATTGGATACAAGTGACAGATTTCTTCAATGAGAATAAGGAGAAGGATCAAGCTCCAAGGGAACCAAATCAGTGCAAGCAACATTGGTGAATTATCAATGGAGTAGTGAATAAATTTGTTGGGTGCTATAGTCAATATGAAAACAAAAGTGGGTATGATGAGTCACTGAAAATTTCCGATTCTCATTCTTTGTATGAAACAAAGTACAATACTACATTCTCATAAATACTACATTCTCATACCAACATGTTTGGAGTATTGTACGCAACTCAGATAAATGGAAGCAAGAAAACAGTAAACGAAAAGTTATGAATGGTGGTAATTCCAAGCAAGGAGAACACAAATCATCTAGTGAGGGTATTGATGATTTAGAAAAAATCGATGAGGGTCGACCCATTGGCCAAAAAGCAGCTAAGGAGGCAGCAAAAAAAAGGGAAAAATATACAAATTGATTATAGTTCTACTGTGTCCGAGATTAGTAACATTGAACAATTACGTAGTAGCAACTTACAACAAATAGTTGAAATGAAAGAGAGAGAGAGAGATTGCACTCAAACAACAAGAGATTGAACATCAAATAATTTATGACGATGTTAGTAAGATGAACCCCTTACAAAGAAAGATGCACGAGAAGAATTTGCAAGCAATAGCTGGAAAATATGGTTTGAATGTCGATGATTAGTTTATTTATTTATTTCAATTCAATTAAGTAAATTTTATTCTGTTAGTTTTTACGTATTTGGTTGATTTCTTTTGCTTATTTTTTTGCTAATAAAATATAATGTAAGTTGATTTCAATGAATAAAACAATTATTAGTTCTTTTTTTTTTTTTGGTGAGGATAGTATTAGAGATAATATCTTGATATTATTCTCATCATGTATCACTCCTATAATGCCAGCAAGATTAATTATATAAGATTAGTTCCTTTGATCTTGCATGCCTATTATGCCTAACTTATATCAATCATAATATTATACTATAGCTGTACTACATTATTATTGTAAAAGTTTTTATTTCTTTCCTATTATAGCTAACTCTCTTGTTATTATAATTCTATTTGATAGTTCTTGAATTGCATTACAAAACACCTTTGATCCTTTCACATATTGGCATGCAAATAGTGGTTCAGCTAATCTAGTTAGTTGCATATATCTAATTATCACCGTTTGCATAATTTTAGTAATTTGTTCTAACCCAAAACACAAACAACGACAAGGATAACTACTATACTAAAAACTAAAAGGAACTATCTAGAAAGAATTGCTAAAAGATTTGATTGATACGGTGATTATATATCTAGTTAGTTGTATATATCTAGTTACACAAACGGTGATTATGCAAAAGGTGATTATGTATACTACGTATACTTATCATATAATATATAATTACGGTGATTATGCTACGGTGATTATGCAAGAGTTTAGCACTATCCTAGGTGTAGGGAATATTTCAAGCATTATCCCTAGCTTGAACCCCACTGTGATCATACACTAAAGTACGGTGACGTCCAAAGGGAAAGAAGATAGAGCAAAAGAGTCGTCAACAAATTTTAGGAACTTGTAAACCGTTTACGAGGTGAAGGTTACACTCCTTAACGATCCAATAGATCGTCAACTCCAATAGATCTGGAACCATGACTAGTAGTTCGAAGATGAAGGTACAAATCCAACCTAAAAGAGATTGAACCTTCCCTAATAATAGGCCTCTACTTTATTCTGATCGTATTCATGTGCGCTTTCTGACTAACATGCAATCAATAGGATTAACCCTAAACCTGTTTATCTATGTTGGTTGAATTTAATGCACAAATAAATCTATTATTGGCGATCACTTGAATTATAATCAAATTAACCCTAAACAAGATCATTAATTATCTTATTAAGCGTGATTACAAGTACCAATTCCCTTTAAACATGCATAAAAGGCGTAATCAAGCAATAACAATAAATATCAAGCAACATAATAATAATCATAAATAATAATAATCATGCTAAAGCATAATATTAATAGCAAGATCCTAGGCATGATACTAACAAGATTAATAACAAATCCTAGCATGTCACTAAGCAATAAAAATCAAAGCCTTAACCCTAACATGATATATATTAGGAAGAACATAGGAAGCATCATACTTTTAATCATACTTGATATTAAATTTACCCTAAACATGATACTAGGAATTTATTGTTGTCACCCTAAACATCAAATTAAGGAAAACATCCTAACATGATACTAGGAATCAAAATAACAATCTAAGCATGATTTCTATATCATAATATCAATTAAACCATTAAAGCACTAATTACTTGGATGCCTCATACCTTTTTCTAATAACAAAATACACGCGTTAGTAACATCAAGGAAAATAATAAACAACAATTAAATTAAATAATTGAAAGAGAGATTTGGGACCAAACCCTTAGAAATTAAAACCTTTCACGTCTAGGGCGAAGGCAACTTCGAATATGGCTAGGTGTATCTAAGTCTTGCGAATGCGGAATTTTGTATTTGAGAAAAGGCTAGTTTAAAAAATAAAGAGAGAGAGTAATAAAGAATTTCTTGATGAGAGTTGGTGAATGAAAACAGAGTTTTTAGAAAGCTATTTATAGAGAAAATCAGCCAAAAAGATAAAAACTCAAAACAGAGTTCTGACGCGTAAAACGAGGTTAGCGCCAGACGCTGACATTAGCGCCAGGCGCTAACGCTAGCGCCAGGCGTCAAGCTTAGCGTCAGGCGCTAATGCTGGCGTTTGGCGCTAACTTAATTATTGACGCGTTTTCTGAAATCAAATAGAAATTGCCGTACAGGAGGATAAAATCGTATTTTCCTCAAAAACATTCTTTTATTCTGATTAAAACTCCAAAAAGTCAACAAAAGTCAATTTATCAATGCTAATTGAATTAGGAATGAAAAGAACCTTCTAGAAGAATCTAGAAGACTAAAACCATTCCTAATTGCATTAGGAATGATAAATCTATACTAGGCCCTCCTCTAGGTCATTGGGCCGCATATAAGGCTCAAACCGGGCCCAGTTTAGTAATTTGGCTATAACTTCCTCAATATTCATCGGAATTGGGCTTATAATATATCGTTGGAAAGCTCTTTTCAAGCCCTATCCAACTACACTACTATTGGACCCATATCATGGACCAACCAAACTGGATTGGATGTTTTCTTAAAATAGGTTTTCAAAAACAAAGAGAAGAGAAAAGAAATTAAAACTATCCGCAACACTAAACTTTCCACACTTTCACTTCATTCGATTATGATTCGACGTGAAATGTACTCATCACCGGGTTTGGTTTTGGGGAGACACAAATGGGTGTCTACACTAGGCTATAATCTAGGAAACTAATTACACTAAAAACGTATAATAGAAGCAATAAACTAGGGAGATAATCTTTAGAGAAATTATCTCCTTTGACTAAATACAAATATGTACCATATATTTAACAATTGTATATATCTAATTTACTTAATTTATATTTACTTCCCTTACTTTTAGCAAATGGTTCAGCTAATCTAGTTAGTTGTCTTACATTTAACTTTTAGTATATTTTAGTTAGCTAATTTAATTTGTAGCTTAACTTCAAGCTTCCAATTTGTACATATATATGATTTACAATACAGCAATAACGTAATTTATTTCCAATTTGTACATATCTGAGTAAACTTGTAGCTCGTTGACTACTACTTTCAACAAATGCTTCATTATACATATTATAAAATAACAATTAAATTTCAAATATCAAACTTTGTTTAGATATTGGTAGTTTCAAATATAGTAGTTAAAAAATAGCCGTTGAAGTATTTAATTTTTGAAAAGTTGTTGAACAAAGGCTATATGTTAGAAATATATAAATTTTATCCCCCATCACAACTCACATACTCTCTTTCTTGATTAATTATAACACTCTTAATACCATCTTTTTCAATCTAGCAATTGGGAACTATGTCAAATGTCGTCAATGACCAACACATAATTGACGAATACATTGATAGCTTCTTAAATTCATATGTAGAAGATACTATTACTTTTGATATTTTAACAAGTATTAACGTTGCAATTACACAAGTTGTCTCATCCTCTACTAAAAACACTAGAAAAAAACAAAATCCTAACACTGATAGGCGTCGTGAAGAAGGCCATCTAAGAATATGGAATGATTACTTCTCTAATAGTCCTATATATTCATATGATCAATTTTGGCGAAGGTTTCGAATGAGGAGGAGTTTGTTCCTTTGTATTGTAAATAATCTAGAAGATCATTATGAGTATTTTAAACAAAGATATGATGCTGTTGGTAGAAAAGGATTATCCCCTCTTCAAAAGTGCACTGCAGCAATGAGAATGTTGGCGTATGGGGTTTCAGGCGATGCTGTAGATGATTACGTGAGAATTTCTGGAAACACGACAATTGAGTGCCTTAAAAAATTTTGTATTGGTATCAATAAGATATTTGGAAAGCATTATTTGAGAAGCCCTACAACTGATGACATTCATAACATACTTGAGGAATCGGAGCGTCGTGGTTTTCCGGGTATGCTTGGTAGCATCGACTGTATGCATTGGTAGTGGGAGAAATGTCCGGTCGCATGTCAAGGCATGTACACCCGAGGTGATCAAGATAAGCCCACTATGATTCTTGAAGCTGTAGCTTCTTATGATTTGTGGATTTGGCATTCATACTTCGGAGTTGCAGGATCTAACAATGATATCAATGTGTTGGATCGCTCGCCAATATTTAATAATTTTCTTGAAGGATGTGGTCCTGAAGTTCAATTTACTTTAAATAGATCTGTATACAATATGGGATACTATCTTGCAGATGGGATTTATCCAGAATGGCCAGTTTTTGTAAAAACCATTCCTCGGGCAGATTTGTTATCAAAGAAGAGGAAGTTGTTTGCAAGACTTCAAGAAGGTGCAAGTAAGGATATCGAACGAGCATTTGGGGTGTTACAAAAAAGATTTGCAATAGTTTCTAACCCAGCACGTCTTTGGGATAAACATGAGGTTGGAGATGTCATGCATGCAAGCATGCATTATATTGCATAATATGATTATTGAGGATGAAAGAAATGACATAGCATTGGATGCAGAAGTATCATATGATAGAGCTAGGAGTCAAAGAGATGGACCCCAAGTGCAGGCTGGTCTCCTTCCAAATTATTATGCCAATCGTGAAAAATACTTTGAGAACCATCGAAGACTTAGAAATCGGAGAAGACATCATCAATTGCAACATGATTTGGTTGAACATTTATGGAGTCGTTTTGGGGGGAAGTGATATTTGAATTCAGATCAATTTTACATTAGTCATTTTTATTTTACATTTACAACTATTTAATGCAATATGTGAATTTTAAAATTTCATGCATTTTTAAATCAATTAAATTCATGTAGTTCCATTATAATTGATTTTTTTTTGCTTGATCATTTTGCTATTATTTTTCAACTATGACATCTAAATTGGGTTAGAAATTTTTTACCCCACTGTGAATATATATATCATATTAAAATTGTATATGTATTCCGAAAAAATATATATTGAAATATATATGTTAAAAGACAAAAAAAATAATAAATATTTTAAAGAAATCTAAAATAAGTCTTAGGATTGAAGAGATAAATCTAATTGAGTCTTAAGTAGTCTTAATATAATTAAAATTAAAAAAAAAATTAAATTTAATATAAAATTTGATGTGGCAATTAATTAAAATCTTAAGACCAGACAGGGCTAATCTTGCTCTAAGATATATATATATATATATATATATATATATATACACAAATATTTGTATGTGGCTGGCCACATAGTGAGGCAAGGGTTACTTGTAGGTGTTACTGGTTTTGTCATGGGTTACTTGTAGGTGTTACTTGTATTATGGGGTTACTTTTATGGGTGTTACTGGTTTTGGTCGGGGTTACTTGTAGGGTGTTATTGATTTTGTCAGGGGTTATTTATAAGTGTTACTTGTATTTTAGGGTTATTTATATGGGTGTTACTGGTTTTGATCAGGGGTTACTTGTAGAGGTGTTACTGGTTTGGTATGGGATTTTGGTCTGGAGTTACTTGTAGGAGTTACTCAGAATACAAGTAACACATATGAGTAACCCCACGATATAAGTAACCCTACGATACAAGTAACTCATACAAGTAATAATTAAAATCTACAATCAGTTGTGATAGTTTTCTAGAATGATGAAGAGTATTTCGAAGACCATAAATAAAGAGTCTGACAATACATAAGTGGTATTTATGAAAGTATTTATTTATAAATATTACTTGAAGGTTGTTTTATTAAACAAGCCATTAGCAATTTCTAAAATAAAAAAAATGAGACGATGAAGGAGTTCCTATTTAATCAAAACTAGAAAAATTGAAAAAAAAAAGCGAACAAAAATATCCAGTTGTAGATCCAGACCAAAAAAAAACCTCATGTGGTAGTGATCTAAAAATGTCTCCAATTCCAAAGTAAAACAATCATTTACAAAATGATATATGTTTAATTGGATAGTGTTCTTGTTAAAATGTTTGGTTGCAAATGCATGTTCATATTTGTACAATTTAATTAACTGATAAGTTTATAAGCGAGAATAATAATTGTTCTTATCTATAGAACTTTATACACATGTATATATATTAGATAATATTCAACTAATATGTAGATTCAAACTTTTAAATACCTTATGTCCAGATCTAAAAATGTCTGCAATTCTAATGTATAAAAATCATTTACAAAATACATATGTTCATTTGTATAATTGTAGGCGTCGCTCGAAGTGCACCTACGTTAAAAACATGTGGTGAATATGCTTGGCACTCATAGGAAGTGAGAATTGACATATACGATTAGGGACAAGGTAAGTAGGGAGTCGCCAACAAGTTTTTAAGGAACTTGTAAACCGTTCACGGATCATAAAAAGGCAACAAGAATAAGGGACTACGATAGGCAACAACGATTGACCCGTGAAGGTTACACCCCATTCATAATCCATGAGATTACTAACTCCATATGGTTCAGAACCACGAAAGGAAGATCAGGGATGATAGTACGAAGTGAGTCATGGAGTCACATTCGCCCGTATTGGCCTCTACTCGATTCTTATAGTGAAAAGTGATTCCTGCGATCTCAAAAGCATACAAACAAAGATTCAATTTGTTCCAAACTATTATTATGCTGAATTGGTTGAATATTAATGCAACATATAATTCTATAAAATTTGTGATCACTTGAATTAATAACAAGATTAAAAAGGATCCTAAACCGGTTGTCCAAATTATCTTATTAGGCGTGATTTTCAATTACATATTCCCTTTAAACATGCAATATGGTGTTCATAAAAAATAATAGAATAACATCAATATTGGAAGCAATTTAACAATAATTCTAACAACACAAAATCGTTAGAAAAATAATAGAAATAAAAGGAACATAATTCTTACTTTGATTCTGTTTGTTTGCAACTACAAAATAATAAACGAGTTAGTAACTTCAAGGAAATAATAATAAAACAATAATTAAATTAAATTAAATAGAATTGAATTGGGGCCAAACCCTCAAACAGTTCTACCTTTCACCCCTTGGCTTAAGGACAGAACCACGAGTGAAGTATGGACTCCTGAGAGTGCTTGAAGAACGAATTTTGAAAGAAGAAGGGTAGGCTAGTGTTTAGGCTAGAGCATAGAATAGAGAAAAAAACTAGAGAATTAATTGATGCCCCGTACATCAGAAATGAGGGGGTATTTATAGAGAAAATGTGCTGAGGGAAAACACGGAACCCTAAAATGATAAAAATCCTAAAAAAGTATCCCGCGACACGGCAAAGTGTACCGTGACACGGGAAATCCCACCGTCAGACGGGAAAAATTCCCATGACATGGTGCACATTTTGTGTGACGCGGGAAATATTTAGTGAACGGGGGAGAAAACGCGTTAAGGGTTTACGCGGAAAGGACACGGAAGTTCCCGTGTCACAGCAGGTTTCCCGTGTCACGGGAAATCCCACCGTCATACGGGAAAGTTTCCCGTGATACGGTGGACTGTTGCCGTGACGCGGGAATTTTCAGTCCGCTTTTCCGTCTAAATTCATTTTTAACCCTAATTTCGTTCAGCATTTTAAGTGCCGGTGATAATTTCGGGCCATTTTCTGATTTTATTATTATTTGGGCTAAAATTAATAAAAAGTTTGGGCCAAAATAAGTAATAAAACAGTAAAATAAAAAAAGGTTTGGGCTAAAATTAAATAATAAGTTTGGGCTGAAATTAAAACTATGCTTTGACCAAACATCAAGACCAATCCATGGACTATTCAAAAATACGAATTTAATTAAATACGATTTTTTAAGCACTCTCAGGATTAAATACTAAACCCGACCAATAGTGGCGGTGAAAGGTTGTTCGTCATCGGGTTTGGTTTTGGGGAGACATTTTTAGGTGTCTACAATAATGTATGCATATATATTCATTTTCGTCCACTGATATGTATATGTATGACGAGGGGAAAACTAGGTCGTTATCTAATCTTCTCTCGAGTCAAACAAAATTTATAAACACCTAACCAACCTTATATGAATATAGGTCAAGTTAAGGGTCGATCCCTAGGGAATGCAATGATGAAAACTAGAGTCTAAGTCAAGCTACCTCGAAGATGGAGTTGATATTATGGTTGGCACTATGGTAAAATAAAGCAAGTCTAATCAAGTAAAACAAAGGTCTAAACACTAGGGATATGGGTTCCACATGCAAGTTCAATGATAATGCTAGTTTAGAGCTCAATCAATTAATTAAAGTATTGCAATGGACAAACAATAGTAGCAATCAAGAGAGTTCAAATGCTATCTCCTATAGGCCAATCTAGGTGTCACTATGAAAGGCAAATCAAGAAGAATCACAAGCAAACCCAATCAATTAGAGCAACTTTCAATTCAATTGTTCATGTCATTAAGAGTTGCTATGCAATCTAGATTAATCTTATAGGTTGATCACTCCTAGTCTAATCAATCACATGCAAAACTATGTCAACCAATTTAATTGCAAGAAATCAATCAATCAAAGAGCATCAACTAGCAATTTCATTAATCAAACATGCTTCCCCCTTTCCCTATCAACTAATCTACTCACTAATCATGGTGAAATTCAAGAACAAATAACTAGAAAGTGCTTTAATCTTCATTTCTATATCAAAATCTAAGAGAAATAAAAAATGATCAACAATATCAAATTCAAATCCAAAGAAGAACAAGTAACAAGCAAAAATGAAATAGCAAGTAAGTAAAAGATGAAAGAAGGAAGAGATTCTCACTAATATTGATGATTGAAAATGAAGAAATCCAAACTTGATTGATCAAATGTTGAGTTACAAATCCAAAACCAAGAACTTCTCTCTAACTTCTCTCTGGATTCTCTCTCTAAAACTAAGCTAATGAAAATTATCAAAAAAGTTCCTTTTTAAAAAGGAAATACAATTCTATTTATAAGCAAAGAAGAAATCGGCAGCTCCCGCGCCCTCTCTCGATAGACCCGCGCCCGCGGAAAAATGGGTACGGAACCCTCCGCGGGCTATCTGGGCAGACCCCGCGCCCGCGGCAACATAGATCCTCGCCCGCGGCAGTGAAACCCGCGCCCGCGGCTAATCCCCTGCTCCCAAAGCCTGATCAGGGGGCCGCGGTCTCTCTGAATGGAGCGGCCTCTCCATTTTACCCGTGCCCGCGGAGAGCCTGCGGGGCAACCGCGGCAAGTTCCTGCCAAGTTTTGGCAATTTTGAGTAACATGGGCCCGCGCTCGCGGCCTGCTGGATTTGCTTTGGAAACCTCTCCGAGGCCTCTCCAAGCCCTCTCTAGCCAAATGCTTCTTCCTTGCTTGATCATTAAAGTCCCAAATTGAACCCTTTGCCAAAGTGATTCTCACAATACCTACACAAGTACACAAAGAAAGGAAATGAAAGGGAAAAAGAGACAAATAAAGGAAAACACGATAAAAACACGAGAATCATAAAGAAAAGAGGAAAAAGAGAAACTAAAGGAAAAAGGACCAAAAATAAGAGAAGAAAGC